AAAACCAAGAATTGTCTGCCCACAATTCTGGCCTCTTCTTGCGAATAGCTTCACGCAAACGACGCATAACACTCAAATAATACTCTTTGTTGATTAGCAAGCACAAGTTTTTCGATTTTCTTGACGTGTTGTTCATCGGTAGAGGTTGATGGTCATCCGGAACGCTCTTCGTTTTCAACACTTTCACGACCTTCTTTGAACTGTTTATGCTACTTGTAAACATTCCTTTCTGACAAAGCATGGTCCCCGAAGGCTTTCTGCAACATCCTGAACGTTTCTGCACCCGAAATTTCATTCCGCAAACAAAATTTAATGCAACTTCTTTGCTCAATATAATTAGACATTGTAAAAATCGCCGAATGCACTTTTAGCGTCGTACAAAACCAAGCGTAAAGCAAAAAGTAATGAATGTTTTGACATGAAATTTGTCACAGATGTCTGTCACAATGCTGCCAACTTAGAAAAAAAATATTTATGATGTGCGGTTTACCCGCGCGATTTAAATTGAAAACTGGTCTTACTTTTTGGACACAGTAGTATCACACGTACTCAGTCAAAACTCGCGCATACCCGCGCTTCACGATAACGCTTCTCGATCTTTGTATTTTAAAAATGAGTCGTATTCTTTCACATCTTATTCTTTGTCTTTTCCTTTTGTTTTTCCAACTACAATTTCAAATTTCTTTTTTAAAAATGTTAACCGATAAAGAAAAGATAACGCTGTTTCTTTATCGAAAATTTAAAGACCATATTAGATCATACGAAGAAGTAACTGATCTATACATTCAATGCTGCATATCCTGATCGCAATTTTATTTCTAAATCCACCGTTCAGAAGACAGTGATACGTTTTTACAAAACAGAAACAGTTAAAGACCAAAATCCTTTCAAGCCTCATAACTCTAAATATGCCTAATAAAAAAATACTTTATTATAGGTTTTTGGAAAGCCCTTGAAATAAGCTATAGGAATATGTAATAAAAAGTGAGGAATCCAATTTAAAAAATTCAATTTGAACTTCGTATGACCTTCTTTCTCCACCCAAAGTCAAATTTTTAGCCATCATTAGGTACATTTTATTAAACCCTATAACTTGGCTACTTACATATTTTTCGCTACAGTTTATCCGTTTCGAGATATTTGACCGTTTCCGGACTTTTTGCCAACCCTGTATAACTAATTTAATAATGTCAAGAGTCTCTAACGAAACTACAGTGTACCATCTAAAGCGAACATCAAATTAGTGTCGACAGTTAATAACTTGGAAGTACGCACCAATATACAACTCAATGTCTATGGCAGATGACGTCATACCAAGAAGAGCGACCACCAATCAAAAGCCTCACTGTAAAGAGGGACTCAAGTCTCGCAACGATAGACGGTCGGGATACGAAACCGGAACGAAGGAAACGGGCTTTGGTTGGACCAAATTCCGGCTGTCACGAGTGACAGTTCGTCAGCATGTTATGTCAAGAGGTTAATTTACGTAAAATGTTAATTACGTTAAGAGGTTAATTTATGGTATTACACGGTATTATATTGTTTAATGTTGCTTGTGCCGTGATATTTTCAGAGAAGAGATAAGGATCGTTGAATATATAAAAATATATCTAAAGAATGAAGAATTCGAATGCTTTGTGTCGTTTTTAATCTTTGTAGTTATAGATCTGATAGTTATGAAAGAAGAAGAGAAGAAGGAGTACAGAAAACGAGAATAGGAAATAGAGTGCAGACAGATGGAGAAGAAGAAGAGACCAAGGTAGACAAAAAGAATGTATTAGTGAGTAAGCCAACATCGGTGCATCATTGCACACTTTTCTCTGTATACTTTTCCAACTGGAAAAGTATTAAGAGGAAAGTATAGAGAGAAAGAGAGAGAGAGAGAAACAAGAAATAGAGACCAATATTTTCTTTATAAAACAATATTTTTATTTTTTTAGAACAATATTTTTTTATTAAAACAACAAATTAACAACATATTTATATCATATATTTCGAAGAAATCTATCTTGTATCTTCCAATGTATCAAAGCTGAGACTTGGAGCAGCTGTACAAGGAGGTGTATTTCGCCCAGGACTGCTTTTACAATGAAGATCCACAAGTGATTCTTGATCTGAAACAGTTTGATGGCCACACCAGTTTTGTTCTTCTTCAACATCTCGATCAACTGCTTGACTATTAACTTCGTGAAATGATCGACGTGTCTACCACCTTGGTAGCATATATGAACGATTTGAAATATTCGAGATAATCTTTCATGTCTCGCGTGAAATTTACTGTGCGCAATTGCATGACTTACTCATTCATACATTCTTTATGTCTACCTCGGTCTCCTCTTCTTCTCCATCTGTCTGCGCTCTATTTCCTAATCTCGTTCTCTGTCCTCTTTTTCTCTTTCATAACTATTAGATCTATAACTGCAAAGATTAAGAACGACACAAAGCATTCGAATTCTTCATTCTTTAGATATATTTTTATATATTCAATGATACTTATCTGATGTGTTATCCTTATCTCTTCTCTGAAAATATCACAGCACAACATTAAACAATATAATATGCAATACCGTAAATTAACCTCTTAACGTAATTAACCTTTTACGTAAATTAACCTCTTGACATAACATGCTGATGAACTGTCACTCGTGACAGCCGAAATCGGCACGAAACGTATTGCGCAGCTTTATCTGGTGTGTGAGCAGGGATCCTCACATCTCGGAAACTAGTGGTTTGTTCTAAAATTCATTGCAGAACTTGTGACCTTTTTTTTACTATCTACATATTGATTCTAAAGAGCACAATGTATATTTTTTGTTGACAAATTTACACATTAAAAAACTAACAATATACAACAATAATAAAACTTAATAGTAAAAACTTCTTTCAAAATTTTAAGTCAAAATATGGTAAATTTAAATTATAGCAAGATGAAGGCTGACAATATTTTGTAGCAGGCATAAGTAAATTTATTAATTCATGAAAACAAATACTATTTATATTCTAATTATTATGTCCAGTCACCTTTGCAGTTTTGTAGCTTTTAAACATGGTTGACCGTATCTTCTTTTAGCTTCCTCAAGAAAGGCATTTTCCATTTGTCTTACAATTTCATTAAAAAATAAATTTGACAAATGAGAATAAATGACGGATTTAAACTCGAAAGACAAGGAAAAGTCGATCACACATGTTTCAGGATTGTTCTTTAATCCAGATCTGAAAATCCACAATGTCTCCAAGTGATCAAATAATCTGCCATCTTTACATTCTGCTTTGATTAATCTTGGATATACCATCGTCACCTTGGAAGTGTAACTTTCGTTTATAGGTGGAAATCCTATTACTAAGTTAGCCCTCAGAAAGTCTTTACTTTTCAACGTAATGTCAGATTTCTTACAAAATGGCAAAAATTCTTTATAATTTTTTACATCAGAAATCACATAAAACATTTTCTTTGCAGAAAACCTGTACAGCAAAAATTATATTACAATTTAACAACGTGCTTATTAATGTAAATGCCTAATATTTACTTAGCAATTACCTATATGTATCCTTACATAATAATTATTATAAAATTTATAATATATATAAATAAATGATACATATTGAAATAAACAAATAGTATAGATTAAAAATCTATTGTGATCTCTTTTTAAAAGTCTTTATTATTACCCAACTAACTTGCGGCCTTCATATTCCTTGGTTCTATTACTCGCTTGTGTTTTGTACATTCGTCTCAAGCTCACCTTAAAAGTATCATATCTCCATGGTAATAAATGTCCCAGAAGAAACATATACCTAAAAATTTATTACATATGTATCAATTCAGAATATGTTGCACTTCCTATATGAATTTTGCTTAATCATTTATCTCTAGAGAAATGAAATTTTTAAAATATATATATATATACCTGCTAAATTATATACTTTTTAATCACTAGGTATATATATATATATATATATATATATATATATATATATATATATATATA